ACACACTCAAACACACACACACACACACACACACACACACACTTTTTGTCTAACACGCTAACTCAGTTCTGTACTGTTATGCTGTTGTGTTCAGTCACTGTTCTTATGTTGAACATGAATACATTTACTTTGTAAGTGATTATGGGACGTATTTCTTCTTTCATATACATTTTCCTTCATACTATATTGCCGTGAAATAGGTCTTAAATTCTATTCAAAGTGGTCTTAAAAAGGTGTTAAAAAGTCTTAAATTTGAGTTGCCGAAACCTGCAGGAACCCTGTACAATAAAAAGTCCTGCATTCAAAATGTTACAAGTAAAGTACAAAAGTATTAGCATCAAAATATAGTTAAAGTACCACCTGCAGAGGGATCTAGATGCAGGTGTTCTTTTCCCCATAGAGACCGCCTCGCTGCACATTATCCCTTGCATAAAGATAGATTGTGGGTCCCTTATAACATGTTGTACACAGTGGAAATAAACATTCTGGTTACCTCAACATCAGGGATCTTATACATTAAACTCCTTCTGAATCAAACCGTCACGGTAGCCTTACCTTACTGTTCCCTCTTAAATTAGAAAAACACACGTTACTTTACCAGCAGAGAGAAAATGGATTATTAAATGATTAATGTGACTAATAAAGAGCAGTTTGATTATTAAGTATTATTCTGTTAATCGATGTCATTACATTTGGTGAAAAACACATAATGACTTGTTTAAGACTCGTTTTGTCTTTAGTTTAGGACTTGGACTTGACTTGAACTTGCCCATCCTGACTTGAGACTTGACTCGGACTTGAGCGCAAAGACTTGAGACTTGACTCGGACTTGAGCGCAAAGACTTGAGACTTGACTCGGACTTGCAAAACAATGACTTGGTCCCACCTCTGCTCAGGACTCAGGACTCAGGATCCCAGTGTAGATAGACACCAAAAAGAAATATGCCATTTATCTGACTGGGATAGTTGTTCTTTAGCCCAACTTCACCCTTCTACAACTTCCATGAAAACCAGACCATTAGTCCCCCCCCCATTAGTCCCCCCCCCCCCCCCCCCCCCCCCCCCCCATGGCTCTTTCAAACACTACAGCTGCACCACTTTGCTCTGAAGCCCATTATTTCCAATGGCTTTCAATGCCATTACTGCAACAAAAAAATCACGCAGGAGTTTGCTTTTAAAATGCAAGGCAGCACTTACCTCTCATAGCAGTGGTGTGGAAGTTAACAAGCATGCTGCTAAAGTGAAAGTACTCAAGGGAGCAGAAGGTTAGAAGGTGGTGAGAGAAAGACGTGGTGCTCACAGATCAGAACTGTGACTTCACTCCATGATGATTAGCAACCTTGACACCGGGAGCCTCCGAGAATCAAAGCAGAAGGAATTCACGATCGGCTAATTAACCGAACTTCCTAAGGTGATGATTTGTACATGATGCTGCAAGTAACCTCAGATGAAAATATGACAAGAGAGCAACGGTAATAGCGAGAGAGGAGGAGAGGGGGAAGCAGCAATCAGCTCTGACCGTGATATTTAAAGATGATTAGAGCTACCGAAGCTTCACCCCAGAGGTCTGCTCGAACACAGGTGGAAATATCACGTGTCAGTAGTGGAGTTACTTACAGTATGTAAACCACTTGAATAAACAGATGAGATATCCCCCTCTCTGTGCCAAATACTGCTATTAGACAGGTGTTTTTCTTACCATCTGTTACCATAGATAGACTGTATATATAGCATTTTGTTTTACCTGTGTTTTTCACGAGCATATGATTTTGGGCGTTTACTTGCAGGAAAGGCGGACATCCATTATTATTTCCTTTTTAGCTAATTAGCTGTTATTTTTTTATTGAGATAAGAATATTGCTATCAATACCATGTGTGTTGGTTAAGTGTTTAGCCTAGCTTAGCATTAGCAGTGGACATGGAGGTGTATGGTGCAGTGGGTTGTGCGTTGGTGTTCGGATCAGGGGAGATTAGGTTCAAACCCCACTGCAGTCAGCATGTCGTTGTGTCCCTGAGACACTTCACCCCAAATTGCTCCTGTGGGGATTGCTCTCAGTATCGAGTAAGTCGCTTTGGATAAAAGCGTCTAACAAGTAACATGTAATGTAATTTGAGCAACAATTCAATTATTAACACTCAAAGAGCTTTTGTTGAAATGCTCTAAATGCAGAGAGTAATCAATACATGAAATGATCCAAGTTTTTCTCTATTTATTTTATGTATCTGGTATTTTCGTCTGCTGCAGGACTTGAATTCGTTTTCCTACCTTCCAGTTTTACCTGAGTGCAGTCAACATCTGAGTCTTTTTATATCTGCTAGTTTTACAGCTGTGAGTAATAACAAAAGCCATTTCCTGCGAGACACTTTCACTGGAAAACACAATGCTAAATTGGGCTGACTATGCGGATGAGAACGGTAAGAATTGAACACTTTAATAGTAAAATTACCTGGTTGGAAAAAGCTAAACAATTACCTGAAATCCGCAAAAATCCTGAGAGGAACTGAACCTCCGGATGATTCACTGTTGGCTTGTCTCTACGACCAACACCTTTTTGAAAGACTATTAGTCATCATGTCATCTATTATGAATATATACATCTTGATATCGGATGTATGGATGCTCTAATTACATACTGAATTGATTGAGGGTTTAATAACGTCAGGGTCAGGGTTAGAGGTTTCTCTACAAACCACAAGAAGTCAATTTAAATGACCATTCCTTTATGTAGAACAGGTGGGTTTTGAGTTGGGTTTTGAATGTTGTTATGGAATCAGACTGTCGGATGTGTAGTGGATAGTATAATGTCCTATGTCTATATACTGAAATGTGAAAAATGTGGGGTGTAATTTAACAAATTACACTTTTACACATTGTCCTTTTTACACAAAAGTAATCTCAACAACATCTCAACCAACCCTTTGCTTTCGGCATCAGCCCCGGTTATTTTTAGCTCGGTCCAGGGGGAGTAGGAGATGGAGGGAGAATGACACAATCCCTAATAAACGGGTGGACGGGAGGAGGAGGAAGACGATGAAGAGGAGAAAGCGTGGGCGCATTCACGATGGGTGCTCATTTGAATAATCATAGAAACAGCTGCGTTCACAAAGGTGCCACGACGGCGATGAGCGAGATGCTTTGGTTGGAAATCAATAGAGGTCCTCACGGCTGAGAGTTTTTGGATGATAGGCGTGACTAATAAGTAGAGCACACTAATTAGAAGTTATGTGGGACATACTAATTTGACGGGACGATGGCAACAAAAGCGAGAGTTGATTTGTTGCTGCATGAAAGGATTTTATGCCGTAACGCTAAACAATCGTATTTAAATTCTTCGGCTTCATTAATATTGTAATCTCACTCTCTCTGAGAATAGAATTTATCACAGTTTATCTAAAGACTGACATTTAGGATGAAATAATGGATGCAAATGCTTTTTAAGATCCTCTGACTTTTCTTCCTGCGCCTTAAGGGATTCAACTTGTGGTTTTGAGCGATATCTTTTCAGCATTCATGCTTTAAGTTGAATTTAAATGACTTTGGTGATCCAATGCAACTCATTCCAATATGTTCACATAACTGCAAAACTAATGATAGGCCCATCATCCTCATCTGTACTTTATGTTAATTGTTAATTAGCACATTGCTTTGCATGCTAAACTCAAATGGTGAAAAAGGAAACTGGCATGTTTGCTTTGTCAATGTTAGCATGTTGTGTATTTAGCTAGCAGTTCAGACACACTCACTGATGTATAAAGAGAAAGCAGATGCAGCGTCTGAGAGCCGTCCAGAGCTCTTTATTTTTATTTTTTCCCCCAGCCATTCACTTTCTATATCCTCAACACACTGGAACAAATTAGATTTGTTTGCTGGCCTTGAAACAAGGGCATTCACCACTCACTCAAACAAAGTGCTAGGAATTCATTCCTTAGTAAGAAGGAGACTTTTCAACATGACAGCTGCTTTAAATCAGCAGGCCATTTTCACAGCAAACATTTCAACTGCCGTCGTACCGGGTAGTTTATTTAGCTCACATTTAAATATATGTTAGATAAAAATGGTTCTTTCCAAATGTAAATCAAACGTTTTTTTTGGCCGATTGATTCCTAGAATGGAAGTTGTAGTACCTCTGTTTGGCCACTACGAGAATGGCTGGCGCTGTTCCTGGGGTCTGGACCTACTAGCATATCTCAACACTCAACATATAAAGATATTCATTACATTACATGTCATTTGTTAGATGCTTTTATCCAAAGCGACTTACACACATTCAGTACCGTGGACTATCCCCACAGGAGCAATTTGAGGTGAAGTGTCTTGCCCAGGGACACAATGACATGCTGACTGCAGTGGGACTCGAACTTGCTATCCCCTGATTCGAAGTCCAGCACACTAAGTCCACCCCACCTCCATATTCGGCCTTTAAATTAGCAGTGTCTCATTATAATGCTTTCAAACCTTCATTTCTAATTGACCTTTCATTGATTCTACATGATATTAAAGTGTTGAAGGAGGCCACGTCATTAAGCTTACTTTAAAATGACCTTAGAAATGGCCGAAGCCATCTGAAAGATATTTACATTTTAGTTTTATGATATGGAACAAGGCACACATATTCCCAAATGACATAATAACTGACAACTATTGTACTTTATTGTAGTTAATACTACATCCAAACTATGTTGCATACTGATTTTCTCCTAGAGTTGTAGTTTAATAACATGTTTTTCTCTTTGGCTTATAATCAAACCATCTATGCTCTAGCTAATGTTTTGCCTTTTATAAATCAACATAAGTGCTGCATTAGAAGATAATGGCACCAGCTGTAGCATGTGTTCCCTGTGTTTACTACAGAATGAGAACATATGTTGTAAATGAGGGGGAAATGGTGGTCACATCACATCACATCACTGAGCTGCTGCTAAGTGCTCACCAAATGCTCCGTAGGAATGACTTCACTAATGACACCCCAGCGGGGTGGAAAAAAAACTGTAGAGCTTCCTTCCAAAAAGGATTTGTGTTTATTCCAGGAGTTCAACAGCTTACAGTAAACAACAGAGAAACACACTTGAGCCAAAAAAAAAAATATTTCGTTCTTTCTGTTTTTAACTAAATAAACCATTGCGTAGAGTTATGTATACAGACCAATTTGACAGGAATACAAATATTTCTGCCTCTTGAGCCACTCCAATAATGGCATCAGCTTGCCTGTACATACATCTTACATTACTTACTATTCACCTAACAGGGGAATATTTATGTTGCAAGTAAAAGGCACTCAGAGAAAAGCTGGGCCATGCCAACACACTCAAAGCAAATTGACCACAGCCACTTAAGAAAAGGAATAGTTTCATTCGAAAATCATGGGTGTTTATTTCAGTTCGACCTAAAAAAATACATTCTGAAATGTACTTGTGACCGGTTACAAAACATAATAATAATAATCATGTGCTTCACTTTAATAGAAATTGTCACTTTTGTTATGATATCTTCAAATGGCAGATGTGTTATTTTGGAATGAAACAATTATAATTAATACTCACAGCAACACACTTGATATTATTACAACCAGAGAGCTTTTCAAATAAAATAATAGTGTGGGCGACTGACCGGGATAGATACGTACTGAACTCTGTGTCTAAATCTGTGTCTACTCAAAACAGACGATACACAAATACAGTCTGTACAAAGATGTTCATAAGACACTAAGGACATTCAGAAAGGCTGCTACAGTTTTAGAAAGACACAGTACCTACAGTATTTCTGATATGTCCATAATAAGGAGAATACACAGTATATCAGGACAACGTGTGTGTACAGGAATGAACACGTCAATACTCTGAGGGATTATCATAGATCATCTTGGGTTTTATTAGCGAGCTGTGAAAGGGCATGGAAAAGAAAGCGGGTAAACCAAAAAGGAACAGCTTAAGTGTAGCTTTGGTGAGTGCACACACACAGTAAACATTACTATGTGACAGTCCTGTTCTTAAATATGAAATTCCCCCAAAACTAAGCAGCATTCTCAGTTAAGTTGAATGGAAAGCATATTTTCTCCTGGATTTCAGTTGCAGTTTTGAACAAGTTGAAAACAAATCCAAACCGCAACAAAACCAAGTGGTTAGGTTTGGTCAAAGATTATTATTTAACCTTGATCAAGAAAGTTGGTTCACAAAGGACACAAACATCGGCCTCGGGGGTGAAGGTACGGTGTTTGTTTATCCCACTCAAACATTTTTACCATCCTAGTTGTGCTCTGAAAAAAACTAATAAAATCAGAGTGAAAACCTGTGAAGGCTCGAGGTTTGTTTAATCCATCCAGCCACCAACTCCTTCTACTTGCTTAGATTGGAAATATATGTTGATCTAACAAAAAGAATATTTAACCGAACCCTAACCCATTACCAACTAAAATAACAATGCAGTTTAGTCGTAATAAAGCTTAATTGTCAGGAGAATAGGCTGCTTGGGAAGTGTTGTAACAACTCTATTTGGTAGGAATGTTCAACACAAAACAATTTTGTTAAGTTTGGAAATGAGATCATGTTTAGACTCTGAAAAGGTATGTTTGTTACATAACTTAACTTGCGTTATGTAACTTAAAAAAAGGGTCACGAACATCAGCCCCCGGTTTGAAGGTTCGATGTTCCTTTGACCGAACCACCCAAACCTTCCCTCGCTTATATTAGAAATATATTTGTAAAACATACAAACTCCTGGAGAAAATATGAGTTTCTTTTAGATCAGGGTTTCTCAAACTTTTTCATACCAAGGACCACTTAACCAATAAAAAAACACTCCACAAATATAAAAAAACACATCGTTTTTCTAGAACAGATTACAAATCGCCTGAAAATGGTACAAACAAGTGGCAACATGTGTGATGAAGGTGTTGCGCTGGGCTATATCATGCAATTGAAAGTAAAACGTAACCTTACTCCATTGCGGAGATATTCCCGCGAGAGTGCGGAAAACTTAAATGTATTTATTTATTTCAAATGTGAAATTTTACCAATATACTCACGGACCACTAGGGGGCGCTCACGGACCACCAGTGGTCCGCGGACCACACTTTGAGAAGCACTGATGTATTAGACAATGCATTTTGATTGTATGGAAACGTACTAATTTAACAGGTTGCTGTCGTTGCAACTCCATGCAGAAGAAACTCGAACCACGTGTGATGTCCAGTACACCGTTTATCAAAGAGATAGAAATCAAATATCATCAACAAATACAAATACATCGCTAGAGCTGACAATAAGCTGCTGGGTTTTCTTTAACACTCACCTGGTGCTAAAGACCATACACATCATAGTTACTGTGGGTAACACACTGCTACATTTTTTATCCACAACTACGTTTTTGCTTTACAAAGAACCATCTGATAGCTATAGTTGCTTCAAAACACATTGATATTGATCTTTACAGTCATCTGATTCTAGTGTATGGTGTTCAAGAAAGGACAATATCCAGGACAAAGGCATTAAGACACAATAGCTACCACTCTGTGATACAGCTAAGCTCAAACATGAGGATTGACAAGATAATCCTCCCTGCACCCGGCTAGGATTTAACTCAATGCCTATTTCTCATATCCAATCTCCTATATAAACTAAAGTGTGAATCCTTCATGGGAGAGCAGCGGATACACATTTAGAAACAAACGGATTTCCCCTCAATGCTCACAAGGAAATGTGAAGTGGTGTTCCCTCTGGTTAGCTCGGCATGAGGCGAAAAGCGTAATCAGGCCATTCTGTTTCTTTGTTGGTGTGTGTTCACTGAAGCATGGCTTTAATGGGATTTCCTTCCTTCCATCCAACGTACAAGTCATCTACGTCAGGTCCAAGACTGTGGAGAGCAATTTCATGTGCAGCGACTTACAGTCCATTACCTCTGAAGCTTAAGACTCCATGGAGTGGGACTTTTCTATTGATCTGGCACAGCTGGGTTGTGGTTTTGCGCCACAAAGCTTGGTGGCAGGAAGGGAAAGAAAAGTGTTGACCTTTGTGTCTCGTAATACAAAATTGGAGTGCAGGTGGAAACATAAACGAGAGAGTGCATGTGTAGAATTACTCTGTTTCTAGAGTTATTTGGCCTGCACTTCCAACTAATGAGTGCACTGAAGCAGTTAGAGAATAAGTGGCCTACGTGCAAAAGGGCAACTAGACTGTGGTTTGTGCAGGGAAGGAAAATCCTCCACATCCAGGCTGGGTTTTATCAGAATGAACTTGTGGACCTGAGCTCTTTTTACTATTATGATAACCTTGGTTGGAAAAACGATGTCCCCATATATGCCAATTGCCCAGTTTAACCAGCAAAACATGGGCGTATTTTGCTTTGGCTGCAGATAAATAACCATTGGTATATAACTATTCCTGAGGTGCCACATTGTTCTGACACAAGAATCCTCCACTCACTATTAAAGTTAATCCATAACTGAGAAAGACGAAGGCAGAACAGGAGAAGGGGAGTTTTTAGAGGGGCGTACAATTGACCCTGGCCATCAATCACATCTAGGTGGTAACCTTTGATTTTGCAAGAATGTTCAAGGTTAGGCATTGGTTTTGAATCTTTGTGGTTAGAATAGAGTTTTATGAGAGTTTTCGTCAATTTCTTTGCAAATGCAGGGTTAGGGTTACCATCTAGACACAACACTTTGTTTCTGTTCAAGATGGTAATGATGATAAACCTTTTCTGAATAAACATATCTTCCTGTCTGAGTCAACGCCATCAAAAAGTTTCCCTCACACAATGTTTCCTGTACAATTAATCTCTTCTACCCTCTTTATCACTGTGCTAGTGCATAGCAGAAAAAACATTGATTTCTCTACATCAAATTCTTCTTTCTCAGTTCTCTTTCAAATAGTCCAACTTGAAGTGCTCCGTCCTGACAAAGAAAAGGATCTGACGGGAAGTCCACCCTCCATCACAAAGTGCCCTGATCAGCGGTGAAGAATCCACTCTCCTTCTTTTTCCTCTTCCTCAGTCTGTGGGCCCTCCAGCAAACGGCCGCCACGAGCAGCATCACTACGCCCGCACACAGCAGAGCCACCGACACCACTTTGGTCTGGAGCAGCGTGTTAAAAGTGAACGTCACCCCAGTGCCCGCCATGCCGATCACCAGCGAAATCACGCCGAACGGGAACACACAACGGTACCAGGACTTTTCTGTCCCGCCTGTAGCCTGGGCAAGTCTCTCCAGCGTGGGGAGAGTCTCTGGAAGTCTGGGTTCTCCTTCCCTGAAGCCATTCAAAGCCTGATTCTGGTTCTCCGAGTCCTGCGGTAAGCTGTTGGCCTCGCTGCCGTTCCCACAGTCCAAGTCCGGGTGAAGTACCGGCGCCGGGGTTTGGCGACCTGAAGAGCAGCCCATCTTCGAGTTGTTGTTGGTGGGTAACGTCGCTAGAAAGGCTGCCTGTTGTCGGCAGTCCTCTCAGCGTGCGTCCGATAGTTGCTTCTGGCGCTTATGATGCGACAGGGGGTTTCTCTAAGGTTGCCTCTAGTGCCGTCAATGCCAGTGGGGTTGCTTCTGTTGTTGTTGTATCAATACCTGCCAGCATGTGCCTGCAATAACAGAGAAAAGCTGAAAATAGAGTAGGAGATAAGGAGGTAAAATAGCAACATTCCTGCTCTGCCCCGGATAAAAACCTACGAATTGGTACAAATAAACAAGTGAAACAGAAAAGAATGCATCAATGAAATGTCTGTTATTTTAAGCCTCACACACACATGCAAGAGCTAAAAAGATGATGCACTCACCCTGCTTCTCGGAGTCTGTCAATGGGTGAATATTTTTAGTGCAGCCTCCTCTCCGGAGCTGCTTGTGGCAGCAGCAGCAACAGCAGCAGCGGTGTCTGTGTGTGTGTTTGGAGATGTCCACAGACTATATAATAACAGACGAGAAGAGGAGGGGCCTATGGGAAGTGTTATACGGGAGGTAGGGCTCTGATTGGCTGCCTAAGCCGGGGGATTGCGTGGAGGAGGGGTGAGGGGGCGGCTAACTGTTCAGTGGTCTCATTCAGTGATATTAATTCATTATTTAGTGCGACGAGGAATTTGAGATGTCCCTCAGGTGGTGCCTTGTTCAGTGAAGCTATGCTGCAGAGACACACATATGAAAAGAGGCAATTTAAGCAGTGAAATCTTAGATGTAAATGACATCATTGCAGATTCAAGTTCAATTGATTTGCTGTTTGTCTGGAGATGCAAATGATGTATGTGCAGCATGTTTTGAATGTCTATCTCCAGTTTTCATCGTTGCAAATATTATGTGAACACCTCGAACATATCGAGTTATATTTACAACACTGAGCAGGATTTCCTCCCGGGCGATCATGGAATATGATTACTTTTGGCTGGAAATCTTGTATCTGAAATAAAGCCTGAGGGTTGACACATTTTCTAAGCTAATACTGTAGAGAAGCATGAAATGTAATTATGAATGATTTAAAAAAACACCCATATTGCAATTAAGAGGTTTTTGAAGCAATGTGTGTTTCAGGGTTTATATGAAAACATGCACACGAGTTAATTAAAAACACGACTCTTTCCACTCCTCTGTCCTCTCGTTGCCCCCTTGCCATGTGCATCATGCGTGTTCCCCTGCACAAAGGCATGCAGATAGTCTTGTCACGGTCACCGTCCTCGTCAGATTCCCCCCATATATGTCCCCTTGTTGTTCACGCTGCCTTTTCTCCTCTCAGACAATGACAGTGAGACACATGAGCCACTGTCACGCATCCCTGGGGACCGCTCGTATCGCTGGCCATAGATCAAACCAAAACGATGATAATAGATATCCTAAATAAATGACCTTCTTTCTTGACGCAATGAAAGTCCCAATCAAAAATAACTGTTTGTAATGATCCCAGGTCTGTCAGCAGCTCAGAGGGAACAGCAGTAATCACATTGGTTGAATTAATTCTTCAAATTGTGGAGCCGCGGAACAAGAGTTTTTATTGCTGGAGCAACTTGAAAATGGAAAAAGGGAAGTAGAAAGTATATTCAAGCAAAAACCCTGCTGTGGGAATATCAAACACAGGCGGAGGTGGTTTGATACGCAGCTCTTTCATTCATCATTACCACCATACAAAGTAAGCAATCATATTTATTTGAGTTAAACATGTAAGCAATGCACACTGGCATTGTTTGAACCTGTGATAGTTTTCAGAGTGGAAACGTTACTTGAGTTCTGACAGCAACCATTAGAGCTCTTTATTTCCCCAGCCATTCACTTTCTATTGCCTCAATACACTGGAACAAATTAGATTTGTTTGCTGGCCTTGAAACAAGGGCATTCACCACTCACTCAAACAAAGTGCTAGGAATTCATTCCTTAGTAAGAAGGAGACTTTTCAACATGACAGCTGCTTTAAATCAGCAGGCCATTTTCACAGCAAACATTTCAACTGTTAAATCATTCAGTATTCAAATTAACTTGAAATTGTAGTAACATAACTGGTTAAGACACTTTTTATCAGTGCCATACTTTGAAGTCATAATTGTACTGACATTTTTATAAATTCTGTTGTGACGTCTCCAAGAACAAAGGTATTGTTATCTTACTGACTAGGCTTTTTTGTTGAGAAATTCAAAAGACATCATTAGCGTCATTAGCTACACCTGTGCTTTGACTGCTGTCAAACAGTCTACGAGAGAAGTCTGTGATTCATTAAATACTTCTGTTCTAAAGAAAACACTTTCCCTTTTTACTGCATATGAAATTATAGTTGTCTCAGGTTTTTCTGGAGGTGGGTTATTGGGTCAGTGCTTCAGTGCTAATTAGCAGCAGGCTAGCTCGCAAAGCATAATGAGCAGCTTACTTAGCGCCTTTGTTCTCATCAGGAAAATGACAAAATGAAAATGTATCTCATCATAGTGTGGAAACAACACATTTAGGGAGACCATGCCATTATCCCTTGTTGTTGTATTACAAGCATACAAGTTCAGCTAAAGGTAAGACTACTCGATTATTTTTAAGCCTTTTTCACATCACAGCAGACATTTCAACTTGTACCTAATTTAGCATTTAAATTAGCTTAACTATCATAATTCACTAGGAATATTTCATCCTCGCAGTGGTCATTTTACACTTTGGTGTGCTGTTTCAAATGACAAATGAAATACTAGTTTACTCGCACACCTACTGCTTAATCTAAGACACATCATTAGCATCATTAGCTACACCCTTGCCTTTCCTTTTGTTACAAGTCAAACAGTTCACAGTGAGAGAAGTCGGTGATTCATTAAATGCTGACAATATTTCTGTATCAAAGCAACACTTTCCCCTTTTACTGGATATCAAATGAAAGTTGTCTCAGGTTTTTCTGGAGGTGATTTAAAGGGTCATTGCTTCAGCGCTAATTAGCAACAGGCAAGCTAGCAAAGCAGAATGAGCAGCTGACTAAGTGCCTGTGTTCTCACCAGGACAATTACACATTAAGTTATCTCATATTAGTGTGGAAACAACACAACTATCCCTCGTTGTTGGATTAAAAGCATCAAAGTTCAGCTAAAGGTAAGACTACTTGATTATTTTCAAGCCTTTTTCACAGCAGATATTTCAACTTTTAGCTCATTCATCGTTTAAATTAGCTTAAAACTGTCATCATTAACTACACCTGTGCTTTCTTTGCTGTTAAAGTCAAACAGTACACAGTGAGAGAAGTATGTTATACATTCAATTGTGACAATATTTCTGTATCAAAGTAAACTTTCCATTTTTACTTTATATAATTTAATGGGTCAGTGCTTAAGCGCTAATTAGCAGGGCAAGCTAGCATAGCACAATGAGTAGCTTACTTAACATCTGTGTTGTTTCTACCAGGACAATGACACATTAATCTCATATTAATGTGGAAACAACATATTGTGTGAGGCCTTGCCATTATCCCTCGTTGTTTGTAAGGTAAGAAAGTACTTATTTCCTTTTTTAGCGTTTTAAGTGTTGTTTTACGAGTCGTGACATGCAGCAGCGCGTGCTCAATTTAAGAGCCGTGACTCATTTTGTGTTTCATTCAGTGTTTGGTTGTTGTAATTGAGGCATTAGCAGTCTTCTGTGATTTGGTATAACCACATAATTATGGTGTAATGTGGATGTCATCTAATTGTTGAAGTTGGTTAGGAAAAGGGGTGTTTTAAACATTTTGGTAAATATGGCTTTTAAAGATTACACTGTTGTAACCGTTGCTGTTTTTCATCAGCGATTCGTTTTTCTTATCAGTATAAGGAGGCTCTTTACTGTCATTTGTTCGTGGTGACGTACTTTCTGGCCTAAAGCTAAGGTAGCCAGCCTCCACTAAGCATCTGCAGGTGTTACAGAAACAGATGCAGCCAATCTGCAGTAACAATACTGAACACGTTTGAAATGGTTCTTGTTCCAGCCTGTATATGTTTGTGATGGCTTTCCATCCCTTTTCCCTGTTCACAACAAAGACTCCATTAAGTCGAGAAATGGAGATCATTTGCAAACACTATCACTTGTGAAAGCATGATATCGTGCCATTACGTGAGACTCATTTATGAGCCACAGGTTGTTGAGTGTGTGTCTTCAATTATGGAAGGACACTCTAAAAGCCTTCAATAGAGGGAAAGTATGACTGTTTCAACACACAGTGGGGAAATAAATGTGTAAAGGAGGAGGTGTGTATGAGAGCTTTAGAAAGATCTTACACACTTCTGCCTGCTGTGCTGCCGTCACTCGTTCACGCTCTGCAACAATGAAGAGCTTTGTGCCAAAGATAGGCATTCACCAAATACATGCCAACACACACACACACACACACACACACACACACACACACACACACACACACACACACACACACACACACACACACACAACAACCCACTCAGTGTGCGAAAAAGTACACGTCCCACCGTCCGGGACGTGTTATTTACAATATCGGACAAGTAGATCTTTCAATTGACTTGTCCGGCGGACAAGTGACGTTTTTCGGCCTGATTTATTGACAAATTATTGATACATTCAGTTTACAAAAGGCAGAACTCAATCGCAAATTGTACGTGTCCGCCATTGTTCGTTTAGATTCTGCTTGTCGATTCCTAAGGAAATGCATCTCGCCGCTTTCTGTAGTTAGACGGGGCGGGGCGGGTGGGAAGTGTAGCACAGTGGCAGGGTTGGGAAGCAAAACACGGTTCCGATTAGGAACAAATATCAATTGTCCGGTACCGGGATTAATAAGAGTTGTGAGGACAGGAGGCGAGGCCGAGCCCCGCGGACTGCAGCTCTATCTATGCTCCGTATCAGCTGATCGCTGCACGGTGCAGCTCAGCGTCTCTCTCTCTTTCTACACACAGCGGATCCGCTGCCCGATTAACAGCCTCATCTTTGTCAAACTTTCTTATGTTCTTTCTCTAACGCATAATGAAGGTTATTAAGCGTTTTAACTCCTATGTTGTTAATATTGACCACCATTTCCTTTTATGAAGTAAAGCAACCTCCCTGTCTGTGTCCTCGCGCTGTCCTCACATCCCCGGACCCCCAGACTCAGAGGAGCACAGGGATGTCAGCAGAGACGTGCACAAATAGACTCTAGGTAGTGCTTGAGCACCTGCCCGTTTTGCCCTCTGGACAGCAATGTGCCCTTTTGAAAGTTCGTTTTTTACAGTTAAAAAAAAAAATTACAGTGTACTGTATGTGGCTCATGGTAACATCGATCAATTCTGGATTAAAAGCTTCTAATATATACAACAATGCCCCAAATGCGCGTTGTAATTTTGTCAGACATCCCCACGCGTGCCCCGCGGCACTCCCGTACTCCTGGCTGCAGCCCCTCCCTTCCCTGCTCTCAACGTGAGCGCGCAGAGCTGACAGTCAGTCTAGTGATGGGAATTCCGGCTC